GTATAACACAGCGTATATGTATGTGTTATTATTGCTTTTCTTTATCAGCGCCATAGCCTGAGAAACAAGCAAAAACGACGAGTAAGCGTTCGCAATTGCACCGAATATACAACACATGTACGATGAATACCGTTACAGCAATTTGTATGAAAATCGAAACCAAAAAATGACAGAAGAATTGGATACCAAAAAAAGAGCACAAAATACACTCGACAGCGGTTCACTTTTTAAAAAGAAATCAAATTGGTAACCACCTTGACCACCAATTCATTCAGTGCATAAACAACGGTTGAATTAAACGAAGCCAAACGATAACATGAACCGCAAAAACTGCCAAGCACACTTATTTCATCCAGTTTTTATTCATGTTGAATTCGAGTGGGTATAGAGCATACAAGGGAGACTTGCTTGGTTCCTGATTCTCTTCGTCACTTATTTCCATAGATCCGAACTTATTTTGCAAGCAACATGAATATGAATAAGAATAAAAATACCGAAAACAATTGAAATTTTAAAACGCTGAAAAGAAAGCCGCAACTACGTTAAGAGAGAAGAAAAAAAAATACGAGCGGTAATAACAAAAATACAACGTCCAGGCGTTACATATACACACGAAAAAAACTCGAATCTAAAGCGAAAACGAGCAAAACAAAGCATGCGAAAAGAGTAAAAATTGAAAATGACTTGGCTGAATAGTGTTGGCTCTGTATGCCCAAATAAATCGTATGGCAACAGCAAATCTGAACGATGACGACGAGATATGGTGATCTGAGTGAATTGTGATCTGAGTGCACATTGTAATATATAAATTGATATACGATTCTGACCATCGATTGGCCCATTATTCAGTTTACTTTGTTTTTGGCTTGATTTCGTTTCACAAGAAATTCGTATTTGTTGTGTGATCACTTTACATGTGCGCCGTTCATTTGTTTCTGTTTTTCTTCTTCTTCGGTGTGTTTTTTTCTCTTCATTTCGTTCATCTTATAAGATCACGTCGTCATTTGTGCTCAACAAAGCAATGCAGAATGCTAACGATATGCTACTCCGGCTTATGGTTTATTTGTATCCATTGGCCAGGAACAGAGAAATGTACATTTTACATGCACTACATTCGTATGCGCACACACACATATCAAATCTTGTATTGCTTTCTCTTTATAATCGATGCCATTTTATTATTGTTTATTGTAATTCTTATTTTATCAACTCGAGTTTTTCATTTCACAATTTATTCAGTTTGGCGATGCTTTTTTTTATTTGATTACTTGTTGTTTTTATATTGTTGAATTGAAACTGTTCAATGATTTTGAGTTTAAAAGAAAAGTGATGGTCACCACGGTTGCTGCGTCAGTCTGGTGGAAAAACTCGAAATCGCATTGATAATCTATTAGGCCTCTGAAAAAGTTGAAGTGTAATCGTCTATCTTTCGACCGTTTTTACCTGTGCCGCTTTTCGACGCGATTGAAATCATTATGGCTGTTACAGTTGTATAAATCCGTTGCTTTGAAAGTTGTATTTTTGCATCGTCTTAATTTTATTACCAGCAAGAAGAAGAAAAAAAAAACACATAAAGATCATCCAGAATGAATTGAATCAGATTTGCTTTTCATCATTTTATTTGGCTGAAGTTCACAACATCTGGTAATTATTTTATTATATGGGCATGTCTATGGAGATGAAAACAAGAGGTTGCGCTGCGTATTTGAAAATACAGCCCATGAATACTAATAATAATATAATGAAAGGTAAAAGAATAAAAAGGAATTTTTTTTTTCATCTTCTTTGTTGGCTTATTTTGGAAAGGCTTTGAATTCATTTCGTTCATATAAATTGAAGCGAGAGAGGGAGAGAGGGGGGAAAGAGAATAAAATGCGCGCAAATCGATATGTGTATAGACATTTTTCGCAGCCTTAGATTATTCATTGCAATGAGTTATGCGGTCAGTCAGTTGGCTAGAAGTTGGTAATGAAAATTTGTTCGAATTGACCGCAATGCGAGCGAATTTAATGGAAAGTTGTGTTGTGGCGACTTTAATTGAACGTTTGCATACATGCTGAGTAAGTGCTGTATATCGTGATATTGTACGCTCACACCATATAAAGGTAATAAACATGGCTCGAGTCTAGTACAGATGTTTGTTGTCCGCGCAGATTTGAAAGAATCCCGGCATAGTTGTGATGCTCTTACTTAACAAACACACGTCAATGAAACAATTCACATGAAAGTGTCAATGTCTCGGCTACGGAACAGGCAAGAAGACAGATGAGAGGGAGAGAGAGAGATCAATCGCGGTTTCAGTGCGCAATATAATTTTTGCAACCGCTATACACAGCATTAATTTAATTTCTTTTATTCTCAAAATGTGTACGCTTCATAAGACACAATGGCCATAAATTATTTATAGAAATTCTCTCGTTCAAATCAAAATGATCAGACAATGAATCGGATCGATGGCACGTACCAAAGCAACAAACATAACAAGCACAATTTGATGATGTCGATGTAAAAAAAAAAGTGTAACAAATGTAATTGCCCGTCAATATTGAACCGCACGGACGAGCGTGCGCGCGCACTCTCTCGCACTATGATCTTTTCCATTTTGATGGGCTTCTTTTCACTGCTACTGCCATCGCTGCTGCTGTTGCTGCTGCTGTGTGACTGCTAACATTTTCCATTGTCAAACTTCTAATAATAAATTGACAATTATTATTTATTATTCGTCGGTGTTTCTTTGTATATTCAGAAAACGATTTTTATTTGGTGAAAATGAATTGTGCAGCCCGACACACACGATGCCATGCAGAAGCGAACGCTAAAAATGATCGGTCAAAAAAACAGACCTGGTAACCGCATTATTAGACAACAATGGATCTAGCAAAATATACGATCATTTGTGCGGTTAGACCACCACATCCAGTAGAGGAAAATACATCGTCAATGCAACGCTCACATCAGTGATATTTCTAATTAATGTGATTGTTTCAATCGGCCGAGTGGAAAATACCAAATAACATTCATTCTCATTTTAACGGCAAATGGAAAACTGAACAATCACGTCAAATGTAATTAAAGTGAAAAAGGTGCTATATGCCTAATGAACTATGCCAATGCTAATAAAAAATAATCAAAATAAACAACAACCAATTTCCATAGGAGAGTAATGACAAATCAATGACGAAACGTATGGGAATTCTGTTGTTTATAACCATTGACCGTTGCGTTGCGTTGCGTTGCGTTGTGTTCAATTAAAATAGTCTCTATTTACAATTCTACACTTTACACACGAAATGCCAACCGCTGATTTTCTCAATTGTTTGATGGGCGTCAATGGTCAAAACTAAGATAATTCATTTTGCATTAAGTACTTTATTCGAAGTGGGAAAGTTCACCATTAAATTTGGAATTTTATTTTCTTTCAATTCGTTGGGAAAATAACAAATCAAAAACGTCATGAACCGCAGATAGATTATAATCCGTGTGAAAAATGCCGAATAAAAGAGAGAAAGAGAACGAGCGATATGAATAAGAATAAGAAGTGAATTTGGCACGCAAAAGAACAAAATGAAAGCACTGCTCGAGTGCATCTCTGGATGGCATAGCAGTGGATGGATGGCGGTACTTTTCACTCGCATTTATTCGCACACCAAAAAATGAACAATGAAATGTATGCTATTGCCACTTATAATATAGGTAAGCATTTGCAAGGTTGCAATGTAAGTCGGTGTGTCGCCAACAATGCGTATCACACAGCGTATCTGTTTCAAGTCATCACCCAATGTCTCTCATTTCCCACATTACAGTAACCGTTATTGTTGATGTTGCTGGTTTGGTTTTTATTCAGTTTCTTTTATTATTTTCATTTTGTGTTGTGCAAATACAAATGTATATCAAACGTAAAACCGTCTACACATAAAACTGTGTGTAAAAAAAAGAACGAAAGAGGGAAATTAACATAAATTGAAGTTGAATGTATGTTTTAAAAAAAAATGATTTTAATAGTATCAACATATACAATGTCCGGTTATAACGCGTTGCGGGGTATTGGGTGCTTTGCTTTTCTTCAGAATGGTTTTGTTTTTCTCTCTTTTTCTCACTTCTTTGACATTTAAAAGAGCAAAATAAACAATATTTTATTTATTTCGATCATGTAAATGATGGCTTAAGGTGATGATATAGACATTAACGCAAAATGTCAATGAAGAAGATACTCTTCTTATCGGGTTGGTGAATCAAGTTTAATGGTGGGGAAACCGTTTACGTTCAATGACCCATGCCTTTCCCTAGCCTACTCGATTTATAACCAATGAACTCAATAGAAATAAGCCGCTTTTGGCAGTCTCCGTACACCATTGACATTAAATAACAATCTTAATAGGCAAAATTCATAATTAATCAAAGAGAACTTAAGAGAATCTCTTTTTTTTCCGATTGAATTAAAAATTCACTCATAAAACTGTATTGCATGTGAAAAGTATGTGGCATGAGACAGAAGAATATTTACAATGAGAAAAAAAGTAATGGTGTAGTAGTGAAAAGTAAAAAAGAGATGTAAGAATCCGAAGAATCCAGTGGTTCATGGTTAACTGAGTCGAGCCGAGTCAAGTTGAGTTGAGCCAAGTGAATTGGCTGGCAGGTGAGAGAGCGAGACTGATGCGCTTCAGTAAGGTAGATAGTGTGTGAGTGTTTCGTATGCTGATATTCGTCAACGTTGTCGTTGTTGTTGTGGTTGCTGTAGAACGATTGCCGTAGTTGTGCGTGTGTGTACACAGAGTCGCGCACTTGAATTTGAATTTAGTGGGGCAAAGTCGCAGAAGCATTGGATCAAGTATCCATGTATAAATATGGTTGTACATTCTACAAATCGTATCATATCATCCTTCCTAGTTGATTCAACATCACAGTTCGATTTTCATTGATTCGTATTTTGGTTTTCCATCCGAAATTTTTTTTTTTTGGTTTTTTTCATTATTATTAGTTTGTTGTCACAAACGAAAATTTTGGTAGTGCCGAAACAAGAATAACAACAACAACAACAAAAAATTAACAAGTACGTTGTTTTTCGTTTTTTTTTTTTTTTTTTTAATTTTCATTGTGTAAAATAAAAGAAGTAACGAATTTTTGGTGTGAAAATTTTGCTTAATAATTTTTGTCCAAACTCTCGGAATTCTCAATATCACGAAGTTGTTTTAACAAATTGATTGTTTAAAAATCCGAAATAGAAATAACATGATGGCATTGGGAAAAGTATTTGGAATATTGTGTGGAATTGCGTTGGTGTCAGCGTTGCCAGCCGAAGAAAGTCGCGGCCAATCACGAAATGCTGTTGGTGCTGATAGTGATTTAATGGAGAGTATTTATAGCGATTGTCTGCGCAAAGATTCAGTGTCATGTGTAAAATATAAGCTATTCTCATTTGTGGATAAAATGCTCGATCAAAGAGACACATTTGCACTGACCGAAGGTGTAACTGTGATTAAAACCGACAAACCCGATGGTGGTGCACCACGTGCACTAACTGGTGACGAATCAATTGAATCGTTAATCTTTAGCCGTGTACAGAATTTCTTGCAATCGCATACCGTAAAAGTTGAATTGAAAGGTGCCGATGTTGTGAATGCCGTCTCATCAACTGGCCGAGCACTTGAAGATGTATCCGATAATATATTTGGCAGTGAAGATAGCATCAATGAAGTGAACGAAGCTCGTGGCAAAAAGAAGAAGGCAGCCAAAATTCTTGGTCCACTTCTATTGGCGTTGGGTCTCAAAGCGGCCGCATTGTTGCCACTGGTTTTGGGTGCAATTGCATTGATTGCGGGCAAAGCATTGTTGGTCGGTAAAATTGCATTGGTATTGTCGGCTATTATTGGTTTGAAGAAATTATTGTCACAAGAGAAACACGTGACCTATGAGGTTGTTGCACATCCACATCATTCATCGAGCCATTCGGCGAGTCATGGTGAAGCCTATTCGGTTGGAGCATCGAACCTTGATGTTAGCGGCTATGCAGCCGCCGGCGGTACCGGACATGGTGGATGGGGACGAAGCGTTGACGCACAGGATTTGGCATACCGAGGACAAAAAACTGAGTAAATTGTTTAACATTTAAATTCTTCCCCCAAAACACGAGATTCATTTACATACAGAGATTCAATATATGAAATACTATGACTCATTACATACACACATACAAAAATACACTCACATTCATGCGGAGCTGAATCACACACTCAGAAATAGATACACCGACAGGTTAAGTAAACAGCACCGATAAGTTTTGTTAAGGAGCTTATAACATATAAAGTTAAAAAAAAAATGAGAAAAAAATCATCAGGGTTCTTTTTTGTAGAAAAAAAAAACAATCATTGTCGATGCGATGATGCAAAGGATCCTTATTTACCTTAGTTCATAATAGATTTTTAATTGATGCGGAAATAGAAAACATTGAAAACAAAGCACACACACATACATACATACTACTTAATATCCAATTGGAAAAAGCTAAGGAAGTTTTTGTTTGTTTTATTAGATATTGTTATGCAATTAGTACCGAAATAATACTCGAATTTTCTTATGTTAAAGGCTTAGTTTATCTTAAAAACCGAATAATCTCTGCTTTGTCTCCTCAAATTTTTCGTTTTTAAAATCGATTTTGTTGTTAATGTTGAAGTTTTCAATATTTTTTATGATTTCTGTTCAATTAATTTATCTTTGAGAGAGAGAAAAATGTAATTTAATGCTATTTATTTAATTTATTTATTTAACGAAAAAAAAACAAGATCAGTTAATTTATTCAAGAAAATGCAAATTGCGCAAAAGCAACGAAAAAAATGTAACAAAAAAATATATGTAACGAAGATTGAAAGAAAATGATTGAAACGAAGAAACAAAGAATGGAAGATGCATGCAAAGTGCCTTCCAATTGAAACCATTCGAAAATTGGCAGTTTTGTCGTTTGTGTTCCAATTTTGTTTATTTTTATATAGAATGAAGCGAAAAAGGAAAAAAAGACGTTTCCAGCACAAGAATTTCAACACACATCACACAAAACATACCATACACACAACACAAATACAAAAAAAACACACACACACAAAACACATTACACCTCATAACACAAAACACGCATCGCAGATATATTGCAGTCAAAACGACATAAGTTACACAAACACTCGGGCACTCCACGATCATAAACATGAAACATATTTACATTTACGCTATGTCGACTGACCTCTTTCTCGCTATAGGCTTTTTATCGCTCTGATTTCATCTTAATTCTTTCTATCAATTTCTTTCTTTTCTTCTTATTCTTAACAGCTTAACTCTAGCTCGCTTGCATACACTCGCTTCTATGCCTCGCTTCTTTCATTCTATTCTACATATCAATTACAGTTCATCATATTTTCTTTTATGATTAAACTGTTTCTTTTTTTGTTTCTCTACTACTCTTCTACCTCAATCACTATCGTCTGTCTGTCTATCTTATCTTTATCTTTTTTTACTTGAAACATGTTTATGATTTCTGTTTTTTTTTTTTTTTTTTAAATTAACCAAACAAAATCTAGCCGAATTTTTTTTTGTCCATTTCAAATATTCGAAATTTTCTTCGTATGTTTGATATATATACTTTTTGTTTTGATTTTTTTTATCTGCCATAAATTGCCATAGACACTATTTTTTTTTCTTTTGATTTAAGCGTATCTTTCGTTAAAAAAAATGAGAAAAAATTTATTTTTGTTTTGTTTTGAATTTGAAATAAAAACCAATCTGCGAAAAAAATAACTAGAAATGAACTAAATATATGGAATCGAAAATTTACGAGAAAAACACTTTTCATTCTTTTCCCCCCATTTCTTTGGCTATAATTCTCCTTGTTCTTTTCATCTCACCGAAAAAGTCATCAATCATGAAATTAGGTTGACATTGCACTTGAACATCGAAGAGCTTATTTAAACACATTATACAACATCATCCACCTACAAAACACACAACAAAAACATACACTTTTCATACATACACACACACATTCTCACACAACCTCAAAGAAAAGACTCAACAAAAACACACTCAACAAAAAACATATTCAACAGAAGAAAAAGAAACACACAATATACTATCGTAAAAAAATGAAACAAATAGATTATCAAAACAGATTTCACACATAAATACACTTCGAGTAACGAGCATCGGATTAGAAATGTAAAGAGAAAAAAAAGAGTCATCACTTAAATCATAAAAAGCGAAATGAAAAAAAAAACAATGGTGAAGAAAGAAAAAAATTAATCGACAAAAAGTCGAAAGCGAAGCAATTTAAGCGTAGCCAATAAAGGCGAATAATTTATGATTCATCGGCACATGTCCAGTTTACATTGGATGGATTTCAAGCCGATTTTCGCTACCTTACAAAATATGCACAAAACGCTTTTCCATCAAAGCGATTTTCTACAGATGAAATCTATCAAAGTTTTTCGCATTTCATTTATTTCATTCACGTTCAGTTTGTTATTCATTTCGTTTTCTATGTTTTATTATTTTCATTTGCAATATTAATTTCGAAAACGAGAGATGAAGCACGATGCTTTTGATTGACACGATCACAATTTCACATCAAAGACCATTAAATCACAACACTCAATTAAAAGAAAAAACACGAGAAAAAGATTGACACACGCACATTTGAACTCTCACTGGTCACCAAACACTAGATGAAAAGAAAACGTTTTTACTTTTATGTTACTTCGTCTCGGTGGCAAACGAAATTGAAAACGGCGCAAGCATCAACAATAGGCGCAAATATTTCGGCCGAAAAAAAAAATGAAAGAATAAACAGATGTAAACAATGGAAGCACACGGCGACAAAATCTGTATGTAAACAATTGGAAGTCGGCGTTTTGGTCGAAGCACAGAAGCTTTGTCTTTGACAACACAAACACCATAATTTGCATTCGACGGACACGCAGATAAGAAAAAGGAAAAAAATCACAAATTGTATAGAAGAAGAAAAGAAAATAAAGAAAAGATTTACATTATTATGATAGTGTTATTATTATTTTGCCCGATTTACTAGTATTCTCTTGTTGTGTAAAGATGAAGGAACGAAGCATACGACGAACAAAAACAATGAAATATCTTTTACTAAGTGAATTAAAAGTACAACAATATCATGCATATCACATATCGATGCCGCTTAAGAAACATGACATTGCATGTACTTTGTTAACGTTTTTATCTGGTCGGGTCTACTGTACTAGGATTGTCGTTGTCATAATCTTTTTCAAGTAAAAACCGAGAGGCCAACAAACTTTTTGTTTAGTCTTTTAAGAAAAAGCCATGCAGAATAAAATCGCAATAAATACCTTTTTTTCTCTTTTATTCAATTGTAATTGTGATGTTTATGTTTTTTGTAGTCGTCTCTCATTTTATATTCTTTGAATTTAATGGGAGATTTTCATCAAGTTTTTGGCTTTATCGCAAAAGAAAGAAAAAGTTTTATTTCATTTCGTTTTTCATTTGATGAAATGATTGGCCGGTGGCTGCGACGTTGCCGCCATAGTAATCAAACATCAAATGCGATTTCATTTCGCCTTTTTTTTCCTTCTCCGTCTTGCTGTCAGATGAAACTATGTGAAAACCCTCAATATATAATGATAATTAAAGTTGAAACGAAAGCACCAAACTGAAAGATCTACGTGTAGCGATAATTTTTTTTTGGGATTTTTCTTTTGTGTTTCGTTCCGTTCTTTAATTGTTTGTTTTCTGTTTGGTCACTTAAGCCAGAAGTCAGTTGGAAATGGTTAAGTGCCAAGTACCTGTGGTTTTGGACAAGCCAAAACTAATTTCATTTTTTTTTTGCAGAGAAAATGCTCATTTGATTGAAAGTTTGTGTCTTAATTTTCATTCAGCTGGTAAGTTCGGTCGTTTATAAATGGTTTGTTGTTTTTAGCAGTTTTGTACACATTAATTTTGGTACTGACCCTTATACGCTTCAGAAATTCTCGACGCCATGAAAATGATGAATTAACAAATGCGAGTTTTATCGACAAAAAATGATCGTCTCAAACGTTTTTTTGGTCGAAGAGACGTGAACACTATCATTTTCATTTGTTTCAGTGAGACATAGAGCATTTTTTTTGTGAATGCGGACAAAAAATGGCTAAAATACAATTTTAAAATAATGTTAGTAATATTCAAAAACAAAGAATAATGCTACGATGTACACGAAGCATTAATTATCTGTGTTTGCACGTACAACACGCTTCGATTGTAAAAACACGATCAATGTAGGCCATGAGAGCACTGGACTTTTCATACGTCACACATTCAACGAACATGGTGCTGATGATCGAGTGTGTTTGTGTGTGGTTCACCAACAAGTTTTCATACGATTTTATGTTCGAACCACTACCTGCTTAATGTAAGTATGCCTGGTTCTAGTCTTTTAGCCATTTCAAACTGGCCAATATGCAAAATTTATAAGAAACCAACAAGTAAAAACAATGAACAGTATGTTGAAACCTACAAATTTTTGGTAAGTATTATTTCGAAATTGAAAAAGAATCAAATGCAACATACAAAGCTTATTTAGACCATAATATACGCATCGACATCGAAATGTATGTTACACAAAAATTCTTACAGAAGACGATAAAAATGAACCGAAGAATTCCAGAAACCAGAACGACGCAAAAAAAGTAAGAATATAAGTGAAACAGAAACGAAATCCCAAATAAATCACGAATTGAATGAATTGAAACTAAGCCATGCCAGTCGGAGAGAGATAGAGAGAGAGAAAGACAGAGAAAGAAAGAGAGAGAGACTTTCAAAATGGGAAGATATGATTGCGGTGTGCACATGTGGTTGTTTGTTGTTTTATTTCATCACGTTTTCAATTGGCTCAATTCCAAAATTGGAGTGCCGCATTTAATCAACAATCGAGCGGCGCGCACGAGAGAGAGAGTATGTAGTGCGTAAACAATAATAAATGTACCCTATATGTAGTTTGACCATATCATTTTGGGCGATAACGTACGGATTTCACGTTGACTTTGGTGTTTTCCGCCAGATCAAAAGAGATACGGAGAGACTTTTGAATGTCTTTGCATGGATCCAACCATCTTGGCAATGACAATGGACCCATTCACACACAAAATATGTATCGCAATGTGAAAATGTCGGTGCGAAAGCATTTTTTTATGGGCCTACTTAAAAAGCGTTGAAAAAAGCCTTAGTTTTGATGATGTCAAAGAATAAAGTTCATCAAACCATTCATCATGTTTTGTCATCAAATGACACATCATTAGCTAATGTCACTACAATTATATTCGATTCAACTAAAATAGCGGTTTTGCTATGCAACTTTCTGATACTGTATATTATGCACAACACTTAATTTACGGTATCTTTTTCTCTTCTCTTCTCTTCATCTCACCAGGTTTGCGTTTTTTTTTTAATGTTTGCCTGCATTCTGAATCGCATTTAAATACGTTTCGCTTGTAAATTATATGCGAATGGTGTGTGACTCGATCTTGGGCATAAACTTAACATTGGTTCGACATAATGTGTCTCTTTGTATGTATCTCTTACGATTTTGCATTGGAATCGATCCACTTTCGAGCAAGTGTGTGTGGTTGCTGTTAGTGAGCAAGTGCTTTTTCCCGTTCCGTGTGCCAAACATGTGATTCTGCAATTTTATTCCGTCGAGTAACATGTG